CAGCAGCAGCCGCCGCCCCAGGCCCCCCCCATGGAGCCCGAGGCCCCGGATTCCCGCAAGCGGCCCCTCGAGACGCCCCCCGAGGTGGTCTGTACCAAGCGCAGCAACACGGGAGGTGAGGGAGGCGCCCCGCGAGGGGAGAGGCTGGGGGGGGCTCGTCTTCCTCCACCCCCCCACAGCCCTGGCAGGTGCAAGAGCTCTGGATGGGGGAGAGGAGGGGCGCCCCTCCCGGAGCCGGGGGGAGGGTGGAGCGGGGGAGCTGGGGAGAGGGTCGGGACCCTCTCCTCTCGCCGCCCGCCGCAGGCCCCGGGGCCTAGAGCTTTGTTTGAATCAGAGGGGCTGGGGGGGGAGGGGGTGGTAAGTGTCCTTGGTGGGGGGTGGGGGGATCCGAGGATGGGGACTCGGGTCCCTCCGGGCCCCCGGTGCCTGTGTCCTTGAGGGGTGTGTGACGTGACCCTTTCTCGGGGCTGGGGTGTTCCCCCAGCTTGCGTGTCCCGGCGGGGGGAGGGGAGGGAGTAGAGGCGGCCTGTGGACCCAGAGCTTCCCCTGTCCTCACTCCCGTCCCTGGGGATGTCCTGAGCAAAGGTTGTCCCCGGGGGACCCTGGGCGGGATCGTGCGTGGGGCTGGGCTGGGTGGGTGTGTTGGGTGACCTGGAGGAAAAGGTGGGTGTGTAAAGTCGGGTGGGTGGCTAGGACAGGTGCGTGTGTGAGCATGTGTGTGTGTGTATGTGTGTGTCCATAAGGGCCCTGGGAGAGCTGGGTGTGTGACAGAGAGGCTGGATCTGACAGGATCCAGAGAGGACATGTGAGTTGTGTGTGGAAGAGTCAGGGCTAGGTGAGAGGAGCGGGGTTCCGTGTCTGAGATCTTCCGTGGGGAAGCTGTGTGCAGGCCACCCCAGGGAGGCCGCTGTGGCGGTGGCATAGGAGTGAGGGGGGGGTGTGACACGCAAGGGGGTGTGTAGGGAGTGCTGACTAGGCTGGCCCTGTGTGCGTTGGGGACAGAGGTTCCCTGTGTGTGACACAGGCATGGAGGGGGAGGGCCTGGGGGGACCTGGAGAAAGCTGGTGACAAGAAAAGGGTGTGGGTGTGACTCCAGAGAGGCTGTGGCTGGGCGTGACACCTGGAGGTGGGCAACCGTGATGTCACAGGGGGGTGTGACGAGGAGCCAGAGGCTGGGAATTGGGGATGAAATGCATCAGGGTAGATAACAGGGGTAGGTACCCTAAATGGCAGGGGCTTGCACGCATGACAACCCAGGGAGTGGAGCGTGTGGGTGTGTAACAAGCTATGAAGAGGCTGGGTGTGTGTGGCCAGAGATGGATGAGATGGGTGACAAGTGTGTGTGTGTGTACGTGTGTGTCTGTGTGATACCATGAGGTGTGCGTGTGACCTGGGGAACTCTGTATACCAAAAAAACCAGGCTGTGGGGGGGGGCGTGTCTTAGAAGAGAGGTAGAGCTTCTCTGGGGGTCCTCAGAGCCCAGCCCCTGGGGAGGAGGGAGACCCTAGATCAGAAAAACTCTCCCCCCCAACCCCCGTTAGGTCACCTTGGCCAAAAAGCTCCACTTCCTCTGGCCTTTTTCTCCCGATGGGAGAGGGGTGGCCTGAGGCCCAGTGCACCCTTTCTTTCTCTGATATGTTGGGGTGTAGGCCAGGTTCCTACACTGTCTGTGGAGATAAACACAGCTCCCTCGCTTTTTCCCATCGCAGCTCCCTCAACCTCCAGTTAGGTGGGACAGAAATCAGGGACCCCTTCCCCCTTGGATGCCTGTGAAGGTGGCCAGTGGAAAGCGAAGGAAAGGGAAGTGGGGGGGAGGGGTGGGAGGGAGTTTCCTGTCCTTCTTCCTGCACCCCCTCCACCCCCCAGCACACACATGAAAATGTCCCAGCCGACTTCCTTCCCTCCTTCCTGTCCCACTGCCATTCCCAGTGCTGGAGAGAATGGGGACCCAGGAGGCGCCTGAGCTCAGCCTGCCTATCCTTCTCTCCTGCTGGGGCAGGAGTCTGGAAGGGAGGAGGGTCCCCCACCCTTGTCTTAAAGGCACTGAGGTGCTCCAAAGCTCCAAAGGGGCTCCAGGCAGCAGTAACAATGAGCTGCTGCTAATGACTGTCACCTCCGCCTACTTGGCACCTACTATGAGAAGTGGGGGGCATTTCTCATACAACCCTCCAATGGAGATGATGGGAGCTGCTTTTTGACAGATGAGGACAACCAAGGCTCAAGGGTAGGAAACTATTTACAAAGGTCACGTGGCTTCTATGGGAGGAGGGAGGTCTCTTGCAGGATTTAGGGAGTCCTGGACCACCGGGACCACCTCCCCTCTGTGTTATCTATTGGCCTGTCTTCCACAGTGGCCAAACTAGCGCCTCTGGGAACCATCTTCCCTCAGACTTTCCCCTGTCCCCTCTCCAGGGTACCCTGGGGGAAACTGAGGCAAGGGGAACAATTCTCTATGGACAGACAGACTCAGGGGCAAGTTGGGGCAAGGGCCTGGGCTTCGATCTTAAAAACTGAAAGCTCATTTTAACAATGAACCATCATGGCGGTGGGGTACTGAATCAACCACTCCCTCCCCTCCCTACCCCGGCCTTTTCTGACCTTCAAGAACTTAACAGTACTGCAATGACAATGTACTGATAGGCACCACGATGATTGTTGAATGCCTTTACACTCACTTTAACAATAATAATAAATTGCAATAATGGCTAACATTTTATGGTGCTGCGATGTGCAAAGTATTATGGGAACTTCTCCGCACGGCTCATTTAAATCCTTATATCAGTTCTGTTACATTGGCCATCTGATCAATGAAAAATCTGAGGCGCAGAGAGGTGAAGCAAGTTGTCCAAGGTCAGCCAGCTACCAACAGACAGAGCTGTGTGTGGTTCAGATCCAGGAGGCTGGTTCTGTTGTATGGGCAGACACTCTAAGGAACCCTGTGTTGAGGCTCAGGGATAGAGCCTCACAGGAAGTAGTGTGGGGCCAGACAGGAGCAGTTCTCCTCAACCGTTGTCCTTTCTGCTTGCTTCTGGGACATGTGGGAGGAAATAGAAGAGATGGAAGTTGTTCAGGCTGATTTTCCCATACCAGTCTTGTTGGCAGATACCATTGGGCAGAAGAAAAGGGACACAGGACAGAAGGAGTGGGGTGAAGAGGTCAGAGGGCAACTCCAGGCAGGTGAACATCAGAGACATGAAAGGATCCCCTCCAAATCTGGTGATACAGTAATAGCAGCCCCTGGAGAACAAATATTCTTTCTGGTGGTGTGTGTGTGTGTGTGTGTGTGTGTGTGTGTGTGTGTGTGATCAGTGGTCCTGGGATTTGAACTCATGGCTTCAAGTTTGTTAGTCAGATATCGCTTGCCTCCCCTTGAGCCACGTGTCCAGCCTTCTGTTGCTTTCATTATTTTTTCAGAGAGTGTCTCATGCATTTTGCTCAGAGTTGGCCTCAGCCTTGGATCCTCCTACCTATGTCTCCCAGTGAAGCTGGGATTATAGGCATGTATTATCTGGCTCAGCAAGATAATTATTGTGTTTTGTTTGCTAGTCCTGGGGCTTGAACTTGAGGCCTGGGCACTGCCCCTGAGCTGCTTTTTTTTTTTTTTGTTGGTCATGGGGCTTGAACTCTGGGCCTGGGCGCTGTCCCTCAGTTCTTCAGCTCAAGGCTAGCGCTCTACCACTTGAGCCACAGTGCCACTTCTGGTTTTCTGAATGGTTTGTTGTAGATAAGAGTCTCACAGTTTTGAACCTTGATCTTAGATCTCAGCCTCCTGAATAGTTAGGATTACAGGTGTGAGCCACTGGCGTGCGGCGCAAGATAATTCTGAAGCTACGATTGTAATGCTTCTCGTTATCCTGTCTATATTCTGATGCCCCCACAAATACAGAAAAAGCACAGTAAAAGGAGCCATATACAGGCACACACACATCTCACATCCCAAAGAGCCCCAACAGCCACTCTCAGTCCTTAACACAAGCACAGTGTCACCAAGGCACGAGCCCCAGAATGGAACCTTTCAAGGTTTGTAGCTCATCGTGATCAGATGCTTGGTGTAGAACCCTCGGGCTCTCTGAGCCTGTTTCCTGCCTGGAAAAAGGGGATGTGAAGATTTACCGCTGCGGGCGGCTGACCTGTTGGGGTGGATCTATGCATGCGATGTGAGATCTTGGATGTGAGGCATAGAGCTTACAGTGGGGCGGGTGGTGAGTGCTTCATAAGAGCTATTGGCGCCATTCCTGCCAGTCCCACCAAGAATGTAGTAATACTCATTTTGTGCCAGCCAATCAGGATCCCGACCTCTGTCCCTTGCTCCGTGTCTGGATTGCACCTGAGGCATCCCAGGCCTGCAGGAGCCAGCTCCTCCTTCCACTACACCCTCAGCATCTCTGGCTTTCCCCCAGCCACCTCTCCCACACTCTTTCTGATGGCAATGCCAGCCTCATGTCCAGCCTCCTTACCCCTCCACAGGACACACCATCCCACCAGCTCTGCTATTCCCAGCCCCCACCCCAGCTTCCATTCCCTGCACACGTGCATCATCCCCCAAACCACTTAAGGACCAGGCGCAGTGGTACACACGTATAATTCCAGCGACCCAAGAGGTGGAGATAGGAGTATCATTGCTAGAGGCTGGCAGAGCAAAAGTAAGAGACTCCATCCAGAAAACAAATTAAAAGCAAAAACGCTGGGGGTGTGGCTGCCGTGATAGATCACTTGAATTCAATCCTCAGTATTGCTCTCTGGCTCTCAACAAAACACTGTAGCCGGGTGCTGGTGGTGCAAAGCTGTAATCCCAGCTACTCAGGAGGCTGAGATCTGAGGATCATGGTTCAAAGCCAGCCCAGGCAGGAAGGTCCATGAGACTCTTATCTTCAATTAACCACTCAGAAAACTAGAAGTGGCACTGTGATTCAAGTGGTAGGATGCTAGCTTTGAGCTGAAGAGCTCTGGAGCAGCGCCCAGGCCTACAGTTCTAACCCCAAGATCGCCAAAACAAAAACACTGTATCATGTGCAACCTCTGACTCTGTTTTGGGGGGGGGAGGGGAGTAGTACCAAAATCAAAATTTGAACTCAGGGCCTTCAAGTTCCTTGATACGCATTTTGCTGGTTATTT